AGGCAAGTATGTAGCATTCATCGATTTATAATACAGTCGAGCTGCTCCTCCGTTTGCTTCTCCCTCATATCCAATTTTGCTCTGTACCGCAAGTGTCTTCCCAGTCACATCCCTAAGCGAGGCACACCAGCAACAAGCAACTTCAACGCAAACAATTATGGATCCACGGGCGTCGCCTATCACGCTGAATAACATCGGTGATCTCTTCAACCTGCCGGCATCAATGGGTCTGATAGATGATGAAGATTTCGAAAGTACGATGATGATGCTCGACAATGCAGTATTTCGAAGAGAAGACCCAGACAACACGGAGTTAAATCTGACCGGACTAAGCGACGCATTCAATACACAGGATCCAGGGTCGCCTCTCACCACAAGCGATCAGCACTCGGTGAATGAAGATAAGTCGGGGTTTCCAGTGGGTGTCAACTCTTGCCTGTCGCCTGACCTGAAGATCCGAATCAGAACTCCTGTCGGTGGTGCAGTCCACATCAAACAGGAGAGCAATATCCCTGGCTATTCGCCGATTATAGACTCATTCCTTCGCGAGTCGTGGGATGACATCGTTGGTCCAGGATCAAGATCTGCACAGGCCTCTTTTAAACCAACAAGTAGTTGCTCAAGCCCCTTTACAATTTCGGTTACCCCTGGGCGCGTGAATCCGCTTCCATTCAACTTCCTGCCCCCCATTCCGTCGCCATTAGTGGGTCAGACATTGACGAAGAGCATGCCTTATCTCACGCCTTCGCTGCCACTACCCCCAGCAACGCTGCGCACGGTCTCCAACACTTCAACCTCTTCGTCAGTGTCGTCTGCTTCGTCTACCAAATCTAAATGCATCCGACGAGCAAAGCAATGCATAGCGGAAGGATGCACACGACGCGCACAGTCGAATAATCGATGCAAGACTCACGGAGGTGGAGCACGATGCCAAGTGGAAGGTTGTGACAAGAGTTCACAAGGTGGAGGTCTTTGCCGTGCTCATGGCGGTGGTAAGAAATGCCGTGTACCTGGCTGCTCTAAAGGAACACAGCGCCTGGGCTTGTGCTACTTGCACGGTGGGATCCGTCGCTGCATTACGGAGGGCTGCACGAAGAAGGACCGTGGCAATGGCTATTGTATCTCGCACGGAGGTGGTCGGCGATGTGTGGCTGAGAACTGCAACCGGTCGGTTCGAAAAGGGAACCACTGCCAAATGCACCAAGTTCTAGCTGAAGACACTCCGTTCCAAATCAGTCGTGGTCACGGACTAACATCATCGTAAACAGCCAGACACACTCAGTAGCTTAGATAATGAGGAGCTTACAGTATAGATTTTGACATGTAAATACAACATTAAGACTTCTGTAGCGTGGGGCTCAGGCTGAAAGCCTTGCCCTCATTGCACTTTGGAGTGAATGCAAGTTGCATTTACTACCAACTGGCTGTCCTTGCAGTCGGAGTTGTAATTACTAGACTTGATGTTCCATGGCAGTGCCCAGGAGGTTTGCCTTGCTCGCTGTGGCGAGATGAGGAATCGGACAGAGTAGTCTAGTCACTTTACCTTTTGCTTTCCACTGAGCTAGTAATACAATCGGCAAAACGTTTGGAAGTACCAGCTTTCCTAACTGTGTCTACTGTTTTCGTCTCGTGGACGTACTACAACTTCACGCTTATCTAGCGACGATGTTGGACAATAAGGGCCCAAAGAAGCTTGGCATTTTAATTGTTTGTTTTAGGGTGGAGGTGTATTGTGTTACTTGCCTACGATCGCCTGAAGCTAGATAACAAATTATTACCTGCATAAAGTCGCATTTAGCACAAAACAGCCCTGGATTTTACGCTCTTAAAAGCATGTTTGCCATCGCGAAGAATGGATATAAGTCTGTTTTTCTGACCTCGGTGAAGTTACGTATAGTCGCCTCCGACTCGTAGAGAACACATACGAATGACTAGTTATCGTCTATTTTGTGATCTCTGAAATAACCAAAG